TCAGGTGTAGTTTCTGTGGTTCAGGTGTAGTTTCTGTGGTTCAGGTGTAGTTTCTGTGGTTCAGGTGTAGTTTCTATGGATCAGGTGTAGTTTCTATGGATCAGGTGTAGTTTCTATGGATCAGGTGTAATATTCTGTAGTTCATGTGTAGTTTCTATGGTTCAGGTGTGGTTTCTATGATTCAGGTGTAATATTCTGTAGTTCATGTGTAGTTTCTATGGATCAGGTGTAGTTTCTATGATTCAGGTGTAATATTCTGTAGTTCATGTGTAGTTTCTATGGATCAGGTGTGGTTTCTATGGATCATGTGTAGTTTCTTTGGNTCAGGTGTAGTTTCTGTGGTTCAGGTGTAGTTTCTGTGGTTCAGGTGTAGTTTCTGTGGTTCAGGTGTAGTTTCTATGGATCAGGTGTAGTTTCAATGGATCGGGTGTAGTTTCTTTGGTTAAGATGAAGTTTATATGGCTCAGGTGTGGTTTCTATGGTTCAGGTGTAGTTTCTATGGATCAGGTGTAGTTTCTTTGGTTAAGATGTAGTTTCTATGGTTCAGGTGTGGTTTCTATGGTTCAGGTGTAGTTTCTATGGATCAGGTGTAGTTTCTTTGGTTAAGATGTAGTGTATATGGCTCAGTTGTGGTTTCTATGGTTCAGGTGTAGTTTCTTTGGTTAAGATGTAGTTTCTATGGTTCAGGTGTGGTTTCTATGGTTCAGGTGTAGTATTCTGCAGTTCATGTGTAGTTTCTATGGATCAAGCTTCTTTGGTTCAGGTTAGGGTTTACATCTCTTGAATTATGATGTAATTTCAGATACCTTTTATTGAAATTATGCAAAAGGGAGGAATATTCAACAGTCTCATGTAGCAGTTGATTATTAAACGATAATTTAATTTAATTGATTTGTTATTGTTTAAAACACTATTTCACATATTTTGTGTCCTTTGTTTTTTTTTATTGAATTAGCATGGTCATATTATAAATGAAGATGTTATACTTCTGAAATTTTAATGATTAAACATATTTCTCCATCTTGTATTCTTTATGAAAAGGTTATTTGAAAAATAACTTTTTAAAAAGATTTACCAGACACATCGTGGTGTTTGTACAAAGTATCAGTTTCACTCTATCAGTATCACTACCTCCTGTTTTAGAAACTGTAGGACCCACAGGTAAACCTGCAGTCTAGTACTCTGTTAGGAAAAACATGGAACAAGTTTTTTATACTATAAGATGGAGATTCTACATTTTATTTTGATTCTGAAATGTAAGGAACTCTGTAAAGAACTCTGGCTGCAGGATTCTGGATCAGCCGAAYGTCCTGAAGTGAAGTTAATAAAAAGGCCAGCAGAGGCGGCTCGAGGCAGAGGATGTTTTTGTGTCACGTGTGTGTGCACATGCGTGTGTATGTGTGTTGCTTTGCAGTTGTGGTCCTGCAGAGAGCAGTAGATAGTTTTAATACTTCTCCTCTTACTGTACAGCCAGGCGGAGGGAGGGAGGCGCGTCAGAGTAGGGTTTCTTCTSCCTCTTCCCCCCCTTCAACTGTCGCTCTGTAGCTCACTCAAACGCTGCTGGGAGACCAAGGAAGAGGAAACAAACTTGTTGGTTTTACGCTCAGAAGCTTTCAGAAGGAGGGCGGCTGTGTTTTTTTTCTGACGGCACGGAGCCTCAGCAGCGGCAGCAGCGCCAGCAGCAGCCCGGGCGGAGGAGGAGGACCGCGCGGCTCCGGAGTATCCGAGCAGCCGACCGGGGGGAAGAGAGCGAGCGGAACCCCGGCTGACTTTTTTTTTCTTCTCCCGCTCCGTTTCCGCCTCATGACCTAATTTCCAGGCCGAAGCTCGAGTCCGAACCTGGGGGGGTCCGGACCGACACGCGGTAAGTGTCGCCGAGGCTTCCGACCAGCCAGCGCGGTTTCTGCGGGCTGTTTGACCGAGAAAGCTGCACCGAAGCCCGGGCCGGTCGGGCTGACAGCTGCGGTGTTTTTCCTGCTGTTTTGTGCGGGGATTTGGTCGCGCTGCTGCAGGGTCTGGAGACTCGGTTCGGTGTCTAAACCCACCCCCTTTTTTTTCTGCTGGACCCGCAGCTCTCTCAGTCAGGGCCCGAACTTGGACTTCAGGCGCGCGCATGCACACGTGCACACTTGTAGGCAACTCACAACTCCTGCAGAAAGGATGAAGGCACCAAGCTTTAAAGTAGAAAACCAAACCTAAAAAAAAAGATGATCCTGAACTATGTGAAGTGGTGTAGTTTTGAGGGAGTTCACTCCAGTAGTTTTCCACACAATGCGGGCATGCACTCAATGTAAACAAAGCAATTTTATCAACACATCTGAGCGTAAACACTGTCAATCCAAATTAAAACACTCTAATGCAGTTTTCTCTATAGTTTGACCTGTTTTCACACACCTCAAAGGGTTTTTATTGAACTTTTCTACATTTTTACTGCYAAACTCTTGAACAAACAAACAAACTACATCCATTTGTGTGTGCAGTCATTCAAGTCTGTATCTCATGATTCCTTGGATTGGTGTTTCATGTGGCTGATTGCGTAATGCTCCATGTGACAGTCTGACTGTGCACAATCACAGCCCGGGTGCAGAGTTTTCATCAGATGTGTTGATGTCCAGGTCTGCAAACTGAAACACAATTCCCTTTAAAAGTGGGGTATGTGCCTCTGAGGACATTTCCATGAGACGTCCCACCGGCCCGGTTCCTGCCAGCCCCAAACGGACACTTTTTATTTTTGCAAACTCTGGAGAATCCCACGGTGAGAAGAGCCTCTGCGTGATTTGCAGATTGTGAGTTTAATGGCCGTGGTTTTGCTTTTTTCACATTTGCAGCTGCTTCCGTTTAAACGTCTCCATCGCCGCATTAGAGGCTCTGAAATAATCAAATCACTCAGCAGAACCACTCCGCTCCGGTTCTTTGTCAGGGATTCAAGCAGAGCTTCAAAGCTTGTGCAGAGAGAAACACTCCTGCTGACCAACACATGCCCCTCCTCTGAGGTTAAACTCAACCAGTGGAGCGTATTGATTTGGACTTTAAACCATAACTAGAAAAGCAGGAAGTTTAAACGAATCATTAAAATCATGAAAGGTTTTCTTTTAAACGACAGTAAGGTAGCAGCGAAGCATCGTCTTCAAAGCTGATGGTGTGCGTGATGCTGATTTTGCTTGCGTGCATGTGTTAGCAAAATATTTCGTGAARCATTGGGCAAATTTGAACGAAACTGGAGCTTTTGGTGCTGTTTTGTTWTATTTTACTGTGTAAATCTTTAATCATCGTAGACAGGAGGCAGTGTGGGAATACCAGCTTTGCTGTGAGTGATGTAACAGGTCTGCTTGATGGATGGAAGCAGCTCCTGTTCTTCCTGCTCCTGAAGGCTGGGGGCTCGGTGTCGGAGCGAGGGGTGACCTCCTTCAGTCCTTCCCAGCAGCCGGCACCCCGGGCGGGCCGCTCTTTTCCTGACCTCCCCTCTGTCTGTCTGTGTTTCTGGCCTCCGTGGCTTTTTTTTTTCTCCCGCCCTTCTCTCTTCATCTGCTGCCATCCCCGTCGAGCATCCTCTTATATAAGAGTCAGTGTGCAGCTGACGTGTGGGTCTGTATCTGCTGTGTAATGATGTCAGAGCTGTCTGGAGAGGCAGAGGGCATGCTGGGTAGGCCTGATGTGCCAGGAGCCGCTCGCAGGAGTCGAGTGCTGGGAATTCTTAAAACGGCTTRGATTTTAACGCGGCCGCCTTAAAAGTGCCTGCTTAATTTGGGACAAAATTTCCGATTTGTTTGTGTCTTTAAATTAAAGAAAGAGAAAACGCCACAAAGGTCAACAGAAGTAACTAAACTGAGAGAAAAACAAACATAAAAATCAGTCTTTGCTTGTCTGTGTCTGTCGTTTTAAACAGAAAATAGATTTATATTTTTTCGCTCCTAWTAAATAAAAGCTTCACGTGTCCTGATGGGAAGTCTCACATCTGGATTTGTTACGACCTATATTCTGGATTTGTGCTTTTTATCGTTACATTAATTAGGGTTCCCACGGGTCCTTGAAATCCTTGAAAGTTTGTGAATTTGAAAAAAGATTTCAAGGCCCTGGAAAGTTTGTGAAAACAGCCAAACGTTACACTTGTCCTTGAAAGTCCTTGAATGTTTTTTTGGGGATTGAAATTCTCTATTCACACGACTGATTTTCATCATATTTAAAAAATAAATTATTAAAAAAACTTACTTTTGTAGCGGTGGATAACTCAGGATTACGGTAAACTGACGTCATTGTTTCTGACTCAACTTCTATGTTATTCAGTTTTTTTTTTAATTTACATGATATTAAATAGTGCTGGGCGGTATACTGGTTCGTACCGAATACTGTTTTTTATTTTTGTTATGATATGAATTTTCTGAATACCGACATACTGGTTTAAATAGCCTGAACACGTGCGGAACGTTTCCACCAGTGAACTGTTGTTTCCCGGGGACACTTTTCCTCGTTGCACCGCTACGTGCATTAGCATGCTAATGTTGTTGCAGCGGCGGGGGGCAATTCCGCTGCTTATACTGGCTTACGTTAAAAAAACATCCCGTTTTCGCCATCGCTTAATGTAGTAAACACCTCTTCCGTGACGTGCACGGTTACATTAAACACGTGACTTTAATATGGAGACGTGGAGACGCATGGAGACTTTAACGTGCTTGTGTTGTGAAAAGCCCAGGGGAAGAAGTTTGTAGTGGAGTTGAATTGACTGGTGTGCAAGTTGAGTTGTCCTGATAAATTTTATTAAATAGCATAAAACATTAGACCCGATAATAAACTTTTCTTAAACCTCCTCCTTCACGACCGGACCAAAATGCGTATACTGTCTCCAACCACCAGTCAGAGAAAAGACACAAAGAGGAGGGAAACAGCGACACAGACAGAGGTATAGTAAAAGAAAAAAGTTAAAAAGCTGTTTTTGTAAATTTTATTATCAGCTGAGCTGTGATAAAAAGAAAAATACCGCGATATATCGTGAAACCGGTGTAAATGTTGATATAAAAATTTGGTCATACCGCCCAGCACTAATATTAAACCTGTGTATTGGTTACATTCTGCAGTTGCAGTAGGTAATTGCCATTGCGCGTGGTTCTTTAATTTGAGGAAACTGGTACTGGAAAGTCCTTGAAAGGTCCTTGAATTTGATGTTGACCAAGGCGTGGGAACCCTGATTAATAAACCAGAAAATCTTGAAAATAATCCTAAAAAAATGCTTGAAATAAAATGTTTTCGCATGTCTAAGGATGCTGAATGAGCGTGTTTAAAGTTTTTTTCTCCCTGCATTTTGGTTCCGTGTTGGTTTTGGAACCAGACGATAAAAAAGCCAGCTTTAGTTGCTGTTTTTAGTTAAACGTGGGGAAGCTGTAACTTGGGTTTTAGGGTCCTTTAATTGGAACGTTGCTGCTTCAGTCTGCAGCTTTCTAGAAGCAACATGTCAAAGTATCGAATCCCAAATGGCTCCTTAATGTGTTTCTTTCTCGTAAAGTGCTCTGAATAAAAGGGTGGGCTAAATGAATGCAATAAAACATATAGTTATTGCTTCTCGGTATGAGGAATACCACTGACATGGCACTAAGTACCCGGCAGGAGCAGCTTTGTTTTTGATCCGTGCCCCGGCATTGATTTTTTTCTGGCTCTCCTAAATATATTTACTGGACCCTTAAAGAGGAAAACTCCAGGTCAGCAGGGCTGGTGGGTTTGTAGCTGATTAGCGGGGGTTAAACGGACGTGTTTACTGTTGCTTTTCTCCATGAACGCACATCGTCGACAGTAGCAGACGTCCAGAAGTGCCTGGTTTGCCCACTAGTTTTTCCATGACCTAAGTTAACATATCTCTTAACGAAGATGAGCCTGAGGTCATCTCATGGTATAGATGTGGTTAATGATAATTTTCAGACTTTTCTACTGGTTCACTCAGGGTGAAAGTGTCCAACTCCAGCAAAAATAAGCTGATTATTATTGTTAAACTGTTGCTCAGCTTTTTCTGTACATTCTGTGCCTTTTTTTATTATCTACAGCTATAATAGTTTGATACATCTCCATTAACAGTAGTTTTTTTTCCCATTCTTTCATCATGAACTATGAGACCCTAACCCTCAATGTACCACCTGCAGTACATTCCCAGTTTGTGGTTACTTCCTCTCTTTATACATTGACCCACACTACCTGAGACTTTGAATTTGCGTAATAGGCTGTTCAACAATTTGATTGGTTGTCTTCTTTTGATTGACACCTCTGTTGACCATCTGGGTTCATCTATAGACTATCCAGAGCACAAAGTGTGTGTGGCAAGCCCCTCATGTCCCACCCATACTTGGTATAAGTGATTGATTGACTAGAATCGGCCAATCAGCTCRGAGCTTCATTCTGACACTACAGAGTCAAAATGGCTACAGTGTATTTTACCTTCAYTAACTAAGTACTAGTTACAGTTACAAAAATTACGACTGCTAAAGTAAAAAAATTCAGATTGATAGCTTTACATAGAGACTGGGCTTGTGAATTTACTCCATAGGGTTCGAGAGCAAAACTTAATTTAATTTGGGTTTGGTACCGTCCTAAAATATTCAGTTTAACTCATTAGGCAGATAAGTTCCCATTAAACTCCCAACTCTCTGTTAGCTGTACTGTGGTAAACATGATGCTAATCRTGTTAGCTTTTCTGTGAGGTTTTCAGTGTTAAGTTAGCACCTATGCTAATTGTTGGTCAGCAGCCTATGGCTGTGTCCAAAACGGCGGGCCGGGTCCTCCGAAGCCCGAATTCTTCGGCRGCATACGTCACAGCGCCGCGACGAAGGCCGTCCAAAACCGAAGACTCCTCCGACGCGGCCGACAAAAATGTCCTTCCTTTTCCTCGATTTGAAGGACAGGTCTGATGGATCCTTCCCGGCCCAGCATATCCCATAATGCTTTGCGGCCCGACCAGAGATTTTTTTAAGCTAGTAATGGTGGACGAAGCAAGACAAAAGAATGTTTTAAATAAAAATATGGCGATATAAAAATAATTTTTTTTAGCGGTTGTAATTCTAATACTTTAATCATTTGTATAGACATGTTTTTGAATATTATTTTTGTCATAAAAAACG